GAGCAGGTGGGGGTCGCTGGCTAAGGTGTTGACACCACCAGGCAGAGAGTGACCGAGACGCAGGAGCAATGAAGGAAGGAAGGGTGGAGACAGGGAGAGAAGCATCAGTGTGAGAGACATACATTGATGGGTTGTCTCCCGCATGCATCCAGCCAGGAGCTCCTCAGTCTGCAGGCTGACGCTCTGTCTCCTGAGTGGCTAGGGCCAGTTTTTTGTTGTATTTTTATGGAGAAGGAACCTCTGAGGCGGGCATCACCAAGGCGTGTGCCTCATCGCTGAGCTGAACTCCTTATGCTGCTGGGAGGCACACAGTGACAAGAGGCTGAGCAGCCGGGCCTGGAGGCCTAAGCTGAGGGAGGTCTGGACGCCCCTCGTGCTCCTTGAGGCACCAGGGTGCCCACTGCGAACTCCTCTCAGACAGAGTCCAGGGAGCTGAGAAGAGCAGGGACTGGTGTTTCTCCGGGCAGGTGGAGGTGCCCAGTGGTCAGGGACGCAGCCACAGCTATGCCCAGTGGAGAGGCCGGGACACTGGGTGAGCCCTCCTGGGATCCCTGAAGTCTGAGCACCGTGCGGTAGCCTCCGATAAAGGCCTTCTCCAAGTCTGTGAATCTGTGCTTTCCACGCATTGGGGCATGTGGACAGGCTTTCCACAGATGTGCCTGGGAGTGGTGCCCAGATAAGGAACAAAGCCTGTGTTCTTTCCTGAAAGTCAGCACAAGGCTTGGGAGGGGCCTGGGTACCGGTTGGATGGACCAGCGTGGGTCACGGACACAAGGAACAGACCCCTCAGAGGCCTGGGTGTCTTTCCGAGGAGCAGGTGGGGGTCGCTGACTGAGGTGTTGACACCACCAGGCAGAGAGTGACCGAGACGCAGGAGCAATGAGCGAAGCCTAGGGGCTGGCCCAGCCCTGGTCGCTGCCTTCACGGCTTACCAGGAAGTGTCTGTCACCGAGCAGCACCTCCTATCATCATCTCTTCAGGGGTGCATGCTGACCAGGAGGGCTCCCTTGGCCCCAACTTCCTGCCCTGCACACAGGCCCTTCTTCAGATTCTGAGTGTGAATGGGGCTGCCTGAAGCTGCCAGGGTCCTCCTACACCTGAGGAGGAAGTCCATCGTCATCTGGCTGAAAGACCTCCAAAGTGTCCTTGTGGGTGGGTCCCCTGCCCATGGGCCCCAGGTTAGTCTCACCTTCGCCCATCTGTGCCTCTATTACTCCTGAGGCTTAGGGAATAGAGATTCTTTCTTTCTTTTTCTTTTTTTCTTTTTTTAATATTTTTATTGATTTCAGAGATGAAGGGAGAGGGAAAGGAAGATAGAAACATCAATGATGAGAGAGAATCATTGATAGCTGCCTCTTGGATGTCCCCTACTGGGGATGGAGCTGAAATCCTAGCATGTGCCCTTGACCGGAATGAACCCGGGACCCTTCAGTCTACAGGCTGATGCTCTATCCACTGAGCCAAACCAGACAGGGTAGGAATAGTTTCTTGCAGTCAAGAACTTTCCAGCATTGTGGATGTCCCCAGAATGACTGGCTATGCCCTGCCTCCTGGCTGCAGCCATGTGGGCAGAAAATAAAAAAATTAAGACTCAAAGAATTCAAAGGTATGCCACATAAAGCAGAAATAACAAAAGTTAAATTAAAAACTTCTGTGCTTCAGAGGACACCATCAACAAAGTGAAAAGACAACGCATAGAATGAGAGGAAATATTTGCAAATCATCTATGTGATGAGGAACTTGTACCCAGAATATATCAAGAACTTCACATCCCCACAAAGGTTTGAACAGACATTTCTCTAAGGGAGATATGTGAATGGCCAATAAACACACAAAATCATTAGCCTGACATCATTAGCCATTAGGGAAATGCAAATCAAACCAGTGAGACAGCCCCTCCCACCCACCAGGATGGCCAAAATAATAAAGGCAAATTGTAACAAGTGTCTGGGAGGATGTGGAGAAACAGAACCTTGCCACGTGGTGGGTGAGACGGTGAAGTGAAGCCACTGCTCCGGAGAACACTTGGGCCCTCACATAATTACACATGGAGCCGATAAGTGATCCAGCAAGTCCCGCTCAAGTCCCATCCGAAAGAAATGGGATTGTGTCCACACAAGCCTTGTGCAGCTCTGTGCATAGGAGCCAAAAAGTAGAAGTAACCCAAATGCCCATCAGTAGATGGATGGGTAAACAAAGCATGGTCCGCCCAGCGCTGGAGTTTACGCAGCCATGAAAAGGAATGGCATTCTGACACACCCCACCTCATGGATGAACCTTAGAAATATTAATACTACGTTCAGAGAAAGTAGCCAGACACCAAAGGGCGGAAATCACACGACTCCATTCACATGAAATTTCCAGAAAATGGAAATCCAGGGAGACAGGAAGTAGACTGTGGCTCCCTGAGGCAGGGGTTGATGGGAAGATTGGAGTTTGTTCTAAAATTGATGTGATGGTTGCATAAATCTGCAAAGATACTAAGAAAACATTGAATTGCACACTTTAAATGAGTGAATTAGAGGGCATATGAATCACATAGCTATGAAACTGTTTAGGAATAAATTTAAAATCTTTTCCAGGTCAACATGGAACACGTGAGCACTTTCTGCTGCGTGGCTCTGTGTGACAAGATAGGTGTGACCACAGACACTGGCCACAGACATTGGGGGGCATGAGGGAGTGGGGATTGGTTCCAGGGGCACTCATGCACCATCCTGCCCCTCTCCAGCCTTTACACCATCTGCATTTAACAAAGACCAGAGCCTCAGGAATGAGACTCAATAGTCCCTGCCAACACACCTGGCCTGTTGTTCCAGCCAACCTCTCCATGGCAGTGGGGGGTGGGGTGGCGAGCAGGGAGGGTGGACTTCCCAGCATCTGTGAGCATCACTGCAGGGCTCTCCATACAGGACCACATCTGCACACGGATTGCACACCCACCCTCTAGGTCACATGTGTCAAACACAAGGCCCGCGGGCCAAATCCATCCCGCCAGGCCTTGCAATGTGGCCCACACCGCGCTGTCATCACTGCACTCCGCTGCGTTTCCATCACAATGACAGTTTATGACTGTTCAGTAAACCATTTGGCCCGCGATTTAGGCTGGATTTTAGATTTTGGCCCCTTCTCTGATTGAGTTCGACACCCCTACTCTAGGTGGTACAGGGTGATGGATAGAGACACAAGCATTTGAAAAGACTTCAATCTCTAAGCTGTTACTCTGCATAAACTTCAATATTATTATTATTATTATTATTATTATCACAAACACACAATAGGACACATGAAACCACTGGAGAAGACAAGCCATTATGTTCTAAATTAAGGGTTAAAGGCCATATAAGTTTGTGGGAGACAGAGAGAGGGGCTGGAAGAGTCTGAGAGGGCAGCCCAGAGGGAGGTGGGGCCTGGTGGGAATAGCTTCGAGCAAGGGTGCCCACTGCATGGTTCACATGCCCTGCAGTCACACCCCTGTGTGCAGCTTGGTTGCAGGCTGATGGTCACTGCAGGGGTCTACTGGAGTCAGAAGCAGGACTCTGGTTCTATCTCTGGTTCTGCCATTGACCAGCTGTGTACTTAGGGGAATCATGTGGTGCTCTGGGCCACTGGAAAGTGGGCAATGACAGTACTTACCCCTCGATCGCCTGAGAAGTGGATAAGATAATACATACAAATCATCCCCCAGGCTTGGCTGAACATCAACTCATCAATGCCTGCTATCTCAGGGGCAAGAGGTAGTGAGGGTCCTGGTGATGGTGGGGGCTGGCTACATCAGTGAGCTGGAGAGGCCCAGCTCATGAAGCAGAAGGCGGGGAGGCCAGGCCTGGGCAGGTGAGGAACCTGTCACAGCAGTCTACCTCCAGGGTCTGGAGCTGGCACCAGGTCATGGTGGAGTCATCCATAGAAACTGGGGGCATGGGAGTGGCCACAGGCTTGCAGCACCGGCTAAGTTGAAACCACTGTAGGAGATACAGGTGGGCAAGGGACTTTCAGGGGAGGCTAGGGGAGAAGCTGAGCAGAGTGGCAACCTGGGGTCCAGGGAGCAGGTGAGAAAGGATGGTTTCCCCACAGGAAAATACAGAAGTGGGCAAGGCCAGGGGTCCTCACAGAGTGAAGGATGCAGGGGAGGGAACAGAGAGGGTGCTGAAGGAGGGGTCACCAGGGCAGGTGGACAGGCTGGGAGGAATGCAGAGGGAAGGAACGGTGTGCTGGCAGGCCTGTCCCTCACATAGAGGGCTGAAAGCAGGTGCCCAGGCCCAGAGCTCTGAGAGGCGGCTGGCACACTCCCCCATTGCCCAGGCATCCAGCGAAGGCTATGCCCCAGCCAAGGCCAAAGTTGTGGTGGGGTGGGGTGGGGGGTCAGAATGCATCCCACCCACAGCCCAGTGCTGGTCCTTTCCTGTCCTGGATTACTGTGGGGCAGAAAGAGGCTGGCGCTGGACCTTTGGGAAGGTCAGCTGGTCCATACCAGCCAGGCCAAGGCTGAGAGTTGGTCCTGTGGAGAGACACCTCTCCTCACCTGGGCCCCCTCTCCAAGGATTCTCCCCTATGGGCCTCCTGCCCTCTGAATCCCCTCCCCCCAAGTTTTCTCCCCTCACCCGCCACACAACCAGCCACAAAGATGCAGGTTGTGTTTCCCAAGTCCTGGGGCAGTGCTCCAGTGTCCTCTCTCTCCTGCGAAAGGAGGGTCTTTTGGCTTCTATAGGATTGGGGACCCCATGGCTTGATCAAGAGCTTTCCCCCAAAAGTCAGCACGGAACCGAAGTGTCCCTGCAGCCCCTGACCACTCTCCTAGGCGGCTTGTCTGGAGTCCTCGCTGCTGTCGGATGAGCGCCTTGCCCGCACGTACCCGAATGGGCACACGCCCCAGGAAGGCCCGGCCCAGACCAGGCTGCGCCGCCGGGCCTGGAGGTGGGTGGGGGTCGGGATCCGGGGGGCGGTGCGCTGCGGGCGGCGGCCGCGGGGGGCGCTGCAGGGGCCGCCGTTAAAGCCCGAGCGCGGGCGCGCGCGCTCAGAGGGAACCGGGCAGCTTCTGTCGCTGCTGTCGCCGCGCCCGCCCGCCCGCCCCATCGTCCCGGCTGCACGGGACTCCGGCACCCCACTCCCCCCACGACTTGGCGCGGAGGCCTGGCGCCGGGCCCATGCGACCCCTCCGCCCGCTCAGCCCTAGCGCCGGACCCCAGACCCGCACCTGAGCGCGCGCCCGGAGCGCGGGCGGGCGGGCGGCGGCCGGGGCTGGGGCGGCATGGGGAAATTTCAGTCCAAGCACGGTGAGGCTGGGGCCCGGGGCGGGAGGGCGGCGGGCGGGCTGCTGGCGGGCGGGCGCCGGCCACTCACTCGCCCTTCCCTCTCCCGCGCCCTCCCCCTGGCGCGCCGCAGCCGCCGCAGCCTGCAAGCGGAGAGAGAGCCCCGAAGGTGAGCGGGCCGGGTGGGGCGGCGACCCGGCCGGGACCCGGAGCCCGGAGCTCGACGTGCGTTCTGCCCCGGTGCCCTCGGATGGATGGATGGGGGTTGGGGGGGGGGGGGGGGAGGATCTTGCCGCGGGAACTCCGGGAGCGCGAAGGCCCCCACCCTATCCCAGCCCACCCCGGGCTCCGGCTCCCCATCTGGAGCCCTGCGCCCCAGGCCGCGCGGAAACAGGGAACGGGGTGGGCCCGCCGGCCGGCGGGGCATCGTTAAGGCGCAGCGCCCGCCCGCGGGGCTCACGGCGCATCTCCTTCCCTCCTCGGTGCCCGGTTCCCGCGCTTCCTCCGGCCGGGCCGCAGGGGACAGCTTCGTGGTGTCTGCGCACTCGAGTGGCCGCAAAGGCACCGTGGAGGCGGAGCGGCGCGGCGGCGGGGAGCACCGCGCGCGGGACAAGCAGGTAGGTGTGACGGGGTGGGGGTGGCGGTGGCGGTGGCGGTGGGGAGGGTCGGCCCGCGGGCCCCAGGGACGCCAGTGCTAGAGTTGTGCCCCCTCGCTGGGACCCAGATGTAGAAGGCGCAGGCTGAGATGTCCCTATGGCGGGAGTGTTGCCCGCTGGGCCAGAGAATCTGTCTGTCCCTCCCAGCCTCCCCAGGCCAGGCCAGTGGAGCTCCTGAGGATGAGCCTCTAACATCCCAGGCTGGAGGTTTGGCGGGGAGAGGGCATGGTTTGCTTCAGGATCCATCGCTTGCACAGCAAAGGTGGCCAGAGTTAGAGGCTTCCCATCTGCAGGGTGGGCGACCACTGGGCCTGCAGGGAGGCTCATGGGAAAGCCAGACTCCAGATGGACTTGGGGGAAGGGAGGGAGGGGGATCCCAGACTGCAGGTGCTGCCAGGGGCAATCAGAAGCAGAGAACTGCCTGAAGAGAGGGGTGGCACCAGAGGGGCCTGGGTAAACGTTCACATGTTTGCCAAGCAGGAGAAAGTGTGCGTTGGGTGGGCATCAGTGTGGCCTGGATCTGTGCAGATGGCCGGCCACACCAAATGGCTGAGCCCCCTACTGGCCCATGGCTTGCCCCTTGCCCCCACTCTCTTTCCTCTGCTCGGCGGAAGTCATGTCTGTTTTTGGAACGGCATTCTTCTGGCCAGTTGACAAATGAAAAGTTCTGAGTGTATTTGTAAACACTGCACCTCACCCTGGGAAGGGCCCAGATTGGCCCTGAAATCAAACCCACACGGGAGTTAGAGTTCCTGCTTTCTGGGAGCGAAGGTTTAACCCCACGCCCGTGGAGGTAGGAAGTACATCGTAAGGTACTTTTTGGGTAGGTCATCGGAACGTTGGATGGTAATGTAAAATGGGCTTGTGCTTCTTGGTAGTGAGGGATGAGGGTGCTGCCCCGGGAGCAGCCCGGGTCCATCTTTCTCCTCCGTGAGAAGTGGGGTGTTGGTAACAGGATGGTACCTCTTAGCTTGGTCCTCCGTGTGTAGCAGGTAAAGGGGGATGGGGGGAAGGGGGTAGGCGGGAAGCTGTGTGAGCGTTAGCTTCATGGTGAAGGGTTTAGGCTGGGCCTGGTTCCACCAGCTGTACTGCTTGGGGGCTTTGTCCTTGGGGACATGGTTCACTCAGTCCTCTGGGCGCTTGCTCTCATCTGTTCAGAAGGTGGTGACATAACGAGGTGGTTCCAGCAGCGGCAGGCAGTGCTTACCCTGAGCTGAGGGGCTCCCCGGCGTTGCTGTGAGATTGTGGAGCTAGGGCTGGACCCATCTTGTAGGCTGATGGACGCCACTCCAGGGACATTTTTTTTTTTTTTTTAAGATTGGTGTGCGAGTTGGCTTAGGTTGTTCTCTTTTCATTCTGCCCTCAGCTATGGTCTGAATAGTTGTGTTTCCCCAAAATTCATAGGTTGACATCCAACCCCCAAGGTAACGGTGTTAGGAGGTGAAGCAATAGGGAGGCCAATAGGTCATGAGGGAGGAGCCCTGATGGTGGGATCCCTGTTCTTCTGAGCGCCTCCAGAGAGAGGCCAGTCCGGTCTGCTGTGTGAGGACCCAGCAGCAGCAGGGTGCCGTCTGTGAATCAGAAGGCTGTCGGCAGACGCAGAGTCTGTGGCACCTTGATCTTGGACGTGCGGCCCCCAGCACCGTGAGAAATAAATGTCTGCTGTTTATAAGCCACCTCGTCTGTGGTCTTGGTTGTAGCAGCCCTAATTGACTAAGACACCTTCCTGTCATGAAAAATAAGGTCCTTTTAACAAAATCTCAGAATACAGGATGGCCCTTTAAATTGAATGCATTTTAGCTTTAAGACAACATTTGCCGCATTTGCCTTATTTCGTCATGGGGCCGGGAGCCCCTCCGCCGGGCATCAGCCGGGAGTTCAGATCTCCTGGACCAGGCCCACCTCGCCCGGCCACAGAAGCACAGGTATCCTCACCACTGCCGCCTCACTGCTCCCCTGCTTGCCAGACTTCCCTGGGCACCATGGGGTGGCTCTGGCCCAGGCTGAGTGTGACCCCTGCCTCACCACCCCTGTTCCTGGGTCTGCCCCTGGAAGTTGCTCAATCGGGGGATGTTTGGCTGTTGAGTCCTACAGATCTCTGGTTTCCAGCCCAGTGTCCTGAGCCCCTGTCTTTGTGTGGAGCCCAGAGCGCCACCCATCATCTCTGCCCTCCCAGGTGACGTCCTTGAGGAAGGCCAGCCTGGGCCAAGCAGCCACCCGGTGATTCTGACTAGGGCCAGTGAGGGGAGATGCTCCTCCTTGCCCTGAAGCTCGCCCTGTATGCTGCCCCAAGAACTGTGGCAAATGGCCTCATGGAAATCAAGTGCATCTAACTGTCGCCGAAATAAAGGCAACGAAGTTGGTTTTGTCCATTAATTGTTAATGGGTTATGCTGGCTCCTGGTATCTCTTAGTGCCCATCTCAAAAAAGTTCTTATAAGCACCAGCATTTTCTAGGTGCGCGCACTCCCTGCTTTACAGTCTAGAATAGTGTTGCTGTTGATTCTGAGAAATGCTGCAGACTGGTCCTGGCAGGACCTGTGTTGGTTCATTGCTGAGTGCCCCTGAAGGGCCAGAGCTGTGCCAGGGTGCTATTTCTAAAGGTGGATTCAGCCACGGAGCAGCGGGGCCATGGCTACGGGTGGGGCCAGCCACGGAGCAGCAGGGGTCACGGTGAGGCTCTGTGGAGACCCGGTGGTCACTGTCCTGGAATCGCCCTTTCCTGCACATAGCCGTTCACCCTCAGTCCGCTTTGCTCTAATTTCTCCAACGCACCCTGAGGCTGGCGGGGAAAGTTCAGAAGATAAGAATCGCTGCTAACAATTGAAATGTTGTTGATAAAACACTGACTTCCATTTGTTAAGCCTGAGAGAGGGGTGTTTTGGCAACTTTGGAGGTGGCATTTTAACTGAGACTTGAGACAGAAGTGCCTGAGTGGGGAGGCCCCTTGGGCCTGGCTGAGGCCTCCTGCCTGGTGGGACTCGCTGAGGTCTGCAAGGACGCAACTTCTCAGCCTCTGAGGTGTCAGGACAGGCCGCTGGGCAAGGCTCCGCCCGCACTGTCTTAGGTGGATCTACACACAGTTGCACACATGTGCACACAACAGTCTTGTGTGCACTGACATGTAGCACCTGTTCCTGACGGAGGCAGCCTTGCTGGGAGTCTAGAAGGCAAACCCTGAAACGCCACTGAGAGACTCACCTCTGGACAGGCCTCTGGCTTCCAGCAAACTCCACCTGCCCTCCCTGTGGTCTTGTCCACAGGTGACCTCTCACTGCTTTTGGAATCTGGGGACTCCACCCCCTGGCATGGTTTGATGCCGTCCACTTGGTTAGAGTTCCCAGGACATCCGAACCCCTTTGTCTCTGCAGCAGGCTGTCTCTGGGGCAGGGCTGCTCCTTCCCGCTCTCCTGGCAGCCCAGGAGCCAGCGCTCACCTGCCCACCTACTCAGCACGCCTCCCAGAGGACATGGCGGCAGCAGGATTCACACATGTCAGTTGAGATTCGTTGCGACGTTAATTCTGGCTTCTTGTCAAAATCCCTGGGAAATCCCCTTGGCTTCGCACGAAATCTGGACACCACCCCGTCTGCAGTCAACACAGAGCCATCAACACGTGTCCTGAGATGTGTGGGTGCCATGGAGCCCTGGGCTATCGGGCCACAGGCCTCCTGAAAGGAGCTTCCGCCTTCTGTGACCCATGCTCTGGGATACTAACCTCACGGAGTCCCAGCCTTTGCGGGGTGTCCGGGCCTCAGGGCTGGCAGCTCTTCACTGTCTTTTGGCACCCCCTGTGGGAACCTTGGATACAGGCAGCGTGTCCCTGCCCTCGGGCGTGGTCCTGCCGTGTGAGGAGGCCGGCACAAAGGTGTACAGAAGCCTGAAGGCTCAAGGGATGCGGGGGAGCTGACATCAAGTCCCAGAGGTCCAGGCCTTGTGAGCACCAGGGGCCTCTCCCCACGGTCAGCCACATCAGCCCCTCACCCTCCACTCATGCTTCTGAAATTGCAAATGGTCCCCCTGGACCCCATCTTCCCCGAGGATGAGCCAAGGGGTCCCAACTAATTCACATCTGAGAAGCCACCAGGCCACTTGGTGGGAAACACCTCCTGGAAAGGGGTGATGGGACCAACCTAAGGACCCTGAGGGAGCTCACTGCTCTGAGTGTGTTTCTGGAGGAAGTAGCTCAAGTTCGCCTCCTTTCCTCGCCTGGAAATGTGGACGGGTGCTGTCTGCAGGGGGAAAGGGAGCCACTGCGCTCAGCTTGCTGTCCCCCCTGTCAGTGGGGTTGCAGGAGGTGCTGGGGCCATCTGTGGGCAGGCAGCCAACAGCATCAGACACTCAGGAGAGACTGAGGACCGTAGGGACGGGCTGGGTGCCATGCACCTGTCTCTACCCAGCCAGGTGCCCATTGAAGGGCTCAGCTGCTAATGGGCAGTGTGTATGCCCACCTCTCATTAGCTCAGATGCGGGTACCCTCATGTTGTGTGTCAAGGACTCATGTCCACCAGCGAGGCTGAGCTCGGACCCTGGCCTTGGGGTTAGGCCAGCAGATCCTGGGGGTGGCCACAGCGGGGCTGCAGGCTGGCTGCAGAGCCTGTCCCCCATCCAGGTCAGTGGTCAGCAGCGGCACTTCCCCCGGGATGCTGGTCTTGAGAGAAGCTCCCTGGAAGCTATTGGAGATGCACCATGTGCTGCTGGCCTGCCCAGGAGGCATGGCACCTGCTCAGATGTGTTCTCACGGGGCAGCGGCTTTGGTACGCTGGTTTCCACAGGCAGACAAGGCCAGGCTCAGGGACCCAGTTCTGAGTGTGTGTGTGTGTGGGGGGGGGGGGGCCGCGGTTCACAGGCAGAGTGAAGGAGCCCGCAGACTGCAGATCTCTGTGATGGCTTCCTCAGGCACCAACAGCCCAATGGCTGCCACAGGAGCTGGAATTCCAGCGGCCCAAAGGGAAGAAGGAGC